TCTGCACAGCCAGATAGACCCAAGAATCTTGGGTGAGGATTCTGAGGCTGTTTATCCTCTGTAAAATGGGATGTAGCTCTGTTCCCAGGTTGTCCTAAGGAAGAAATGAGATGACTTTCAAAGAGCTCATCACAGTGGCTGTCATTTAACAGGCATGTGGGGAATGTAAATGCCTTTTCTTATGGAGCACAGAAGCTGCAAAGCACGGTGCCACATCAAAATAAGACAGATGGGTGATGAAGAACTCACTCAGGCCCTTGAGATATATACACACTTCTCCGGTTCTAGTGTTGTGCTATTAGCACAGGAGGGTGCTCAAGAAACTTTGGTTCAATGCATGAGAACACCACAGATATATTTTTAGTATTTAAAATCATGTGAACAATTATTTGAAAAAAACATCAGTATTTCAGGAAATAGTCTGAATTATGAGGCACACAAGTGCACCACAAAATTTATCCAGTGTTATCTCTTCCACAAACACAATGCAACAAAAAAAGTTATTAATCCTGAAATAGGTAGGGACCTTCCAATATCCTTTTAATAATCGTGCCTCAGGTAGCTTTGAGTCAAGGCTGTTTCAGAGCTTATTCATTTGATTCTCTAAGAGTGCTTGCCACCCTGATTGCATCCCATCTCTCTCTCTCTCTCTCACACACATACACACACACACACCACACACGCACACACGCACACACATCCGTGCATGAAAACATACAGTAGTGTCTCTGTTCCTGAACTCAATTCTCTCCACAATTCTGGTCACCAACTGAACTGGATGAGAACCAAATCAAACCTTCCCACATGGTCAACATTAACACTCACCCCTGAATTTGATTTGGTTCTCGTCCAACTTGGTTTATATTGTGAACTGAGGTTCCACTGTGTATTTTTCAGTTTTCCTCAACTCACATTTTCAATGCTATTGTTTTACTTTAATACTTCCCTGCATTACCTCATCACAGTTCCAGGAACTCAGATGAATGTTTTAATTTCTAAATTTTCTTACTAGATGTATTCAATACTATAGTGTAAATTATAGGGTGAGTCTACTGTGATTATTATTTTAGAAGGAAATTCCTTCATTGATCATACTTGTGTGAACTGCATTTGAAAAGATGTCTCAAAAGAAAGAAATATAAGGGACAAATTTCTTGCAAAAATCATAGCATCCAGGTGATGGGTAACAGAGAGGAGGAAATAAAGAGCATATTTGCAATAATTGTGCTGTGTGGAATTCTTCACAAAATTAAGTATCGTTACACCTATTTATAAGGCAAGTCATATTTTCTCGCATATACTATTGCCTCTTTTAGTTATTTAAAAACAACGAAAAGTCAATTTTCTGTGCCAAAAAAGGGCTCACAGAATGAAGACCAATTCATTTCATCTCAAGTCATGTCATCTTCAATCAATACATGCTTCTACAATTCCATCGTTTTTAATCCAGAATGAGAGCTGCCCTTTTGGTGAAGAAAGCTATAATCTCTTTCCATAATAACCTCTCCAATGTGCTACAATATAATGGTGTGTGGTGAAGAGATAAAAAAAAGAAAAATAGAAATTAAGAAGGAACCTATCTAATCTAACAGCCACAAAAGGCATCAGAAACTTAAAATTATTCTCAACAATTTATGAAGAGCAGACATAACTGATTTTTTACTACGTCTTGGGTGAAGAGATTTGAAATGGAACTTACATTTATTTGCTATTTTAAATGCAAATAGATTTGTATTGTCTTCATTCATTCAACTAAACATTCTTGAACACCTGCTATGTACAAATAATGTGACATTTGGATCACAAAGAAAGAGCAAGACTGTCTCTGCTTTTGAATAGTTAGCAGTCCAGTGAGAATGAGAATTTTAGCATATCTCTGGCAGCAGCAATACTGTGTAGACGTGTCAGAGAATAAGATGTTGGAAAAATGAGAAGGTGAGGAGACCAAAGTACAGACTACGGAAGTTAGCAGCTTCAGGGATTCAAGCTGAACTACCAGCATAATGGCTTATCCCATTTTACAATGCAGAAGCAGAGTCAATTTCAGTTTTATTTAGGTGCATGAGACCATGAGAGAATTTTAGATAAAGCAATAGCATTCAACATCTTTGCTCATCCTTATAAGCAAAGGTTGAAGAGGAAGAGAGTCTCAAATACAGTGAAACAGGAAAAACTAAACACAATGCGTAGTTTATTATAATGTGCCTAATGCCAGAGCATTAGTCAATCCCCAACTTCAAGAAAAATCTGAATGTTAGTGTATGTATCACTTCACACATATTCAGCTGCCTTTTGAGAATGTCTAATTCTGCTTTCCGCTCTACAAATGAGGAGCAAAACAATAGCCATACTTCAGTCCAGGTAGTAGGAAAACAGGAGAAAAAGTGTGTAAATTGAACAAGCATGAGCCACCAAGATCTGATGAATTAAAGATAAGGCTTTTAAAAAAGACCACAGAGAAATTGAAGCCTTCCTTTTTTCAGTCACTGAGCCATGACAGGGTCCAATCACAGCATAGAAAAAGAACAAAACCATCATCCTCAAGGAAAAATAAGAAAACTCTGGTAGTTCCCAGGGGATGAAATGGGAGGAAGCAGAGGACCATAAAAACAAAGGAGGAGGAAAAGATCGTTACATATCCACAGATGCACACTTAATACAACTTTCCTCTGGAATATTTTTCCATCTTTATTCTGAACAGCTGCCACCCCATTTTATATATATATATATATATATATATATATATATATATATATGCATGCTGCATTTGCCATGAGGATTTGGAATGTGCACCAAAATATAACTGTTAGTTCATCACAGCTCATGTTCTTAAATAAAGATGTTCTCTATTTATGAATTTTGTAAGAGTCTTTGTCTTGAACAGCAAATCAGTTTAGAATGACAGCACACCATTAATATTTAATTAAACTGAGCTGATTTTACTCACTGTGGTCTGATTAGAAAAACAGAAAATGTAACATCTTACAATACTGTTTATTCATAAGGACATGGAATGGTTTAAAGCAATAGCATTGTCATTTTGTTGTACTTTACTAAGTTTGTAAAGAGCAATAACCACATCATCTTCCTCCTTGCATCTCCAGTGCGCAACACAGTAGCGGGCCATCTCTAAGCATTTAATAAATGTGTATTTTATAAATAAAAGTGAAATTGGAGCTCAGTGAGTGAGAAGAAGAAAAAGTGAATTCCATTTCTGCATAGAAAGAGGAGAACGAATATATATGATCAAGTGTTTTCACAACTATATTCTGGGCTTTTTCAACCATTTAAATTGTATCACTTCACACTTGGAGCCCAACTATAGCTTTGGGTTTCTTATTGTCCCTCAGCATAGATGTGCTTTTAGGAGGTGCAAAACCAATGACCCTTGCCTCGAAATTCAGCCAGGATTCAATGGAGTTCCCGCATTTGTACCTTCTCTGGGAAGATGGAAGTTTTGTATGAGGACTCAAGGGAGATTCCAGGTTGGACTTTGCCCCTCTGACCCCTGTCCGTCCAGGCACAAGCAGTACTCACTAGTCCTCTTCTCAGACTACTTCATATCAGAAGTGGGGTGTTTATTCCTCCTTGGCTCATTCATCTTAAAAACCTTGTCAGAAAGATGAAGAGTTCCTAATTATGCCCCCTAATTATGTTAGCCTTGCAGAGAAGACAAGGCTTATGAGTAAAAACATAGATCATACTGAGCAATAAAAATTCATTTTGATTCACTATTCACTTTGAGGCAGAGTAATTTGCTGACTTCTGATGACATAAAGAGGTTGGCTTCTACTGTTTTCCAACATGTACTTCACCTCTATCCCAACCCTAAAGTTAAAAAAAAATTTACATATGGAAATTTGCAAATATCCTCTACAAAATATTATATTGCTTAACTCTGTCTTGTAGGGTCTGAACGAACAGTATTGTAAAATGTTACATTTTCTATTTTTCTAATCAGACCACAGAGCAAACATCAAAGAGCAAAATTTATGTGAAGGAATTTTGACACACTCATGCTATGTGTAAGAAAGGATAATTGAATGTAAGTAGATAAAGTACCACTAATGTAACCTTGAAAACAGAGGCAGGAAAATAAATATAAAATTATATTTTACAAATGTATTTATTTTGAATAGACAAGTACAAATTGAGTGTATTTATCAAGTAATATGGAGTTCTGATCTACAAATTCATTGTTAAGAGTTTCAGTCACGTTAACGAATGCAGCCTTTACCTTGCTATGGTAATCACCATTCATAACTATATATTGTATATTTCAAATTTCTGGATAAATTTTTAACATTCTCACCACATATACAATCATCTCCTTAACTGAGGATTTGGGATACAAATAAATTTGGATGTCACAGTATGGAAATTTGTATCTGTATGACTAGGGGCAATAAGATTCCACAAAGTCTGAACAACTCTGAAAGCCAGTGCTGTTTAGAACTTCATTTGAATGGAGTCACCTGGAAATCTTGTGAAAGTGAAGATTCTGACTTAGGAAGTCTGGGACAGGGCGGTGTTTTAGTCACTTTCTCATCACTGGTGCAAGATACCTGATGACCACAACTTTAAGATCAGCTAAGGAGAAGGTTGGACAAGCAAAGACAGTCTGAGTGAAATCTTCAGCGCTAAGAAAGCTCACCTGTGGGGATATTTATTGGAAAACAATTTGCATAAAATTTGTGTTTGTCACAGTCCTAAGCTGAGCTAGAAAAGTAGGAAGAATAAAAGTTGTACAGGGCAAATACGGTAATAAAACACCTGAGGAGCATCGTGTTTTTCCAACAAGGTACTTTCACAACCCTAATATAAGAATCCCTTTAGGAAGCAGAAATCCACCATGTGAAAAAGGATCCCACAAATTTCTAGTTAGCAATCATCTTATCTTATTTAGACGATCTGAGGTTTTGAAAGAATTACATATTTTTCAGTGGATAAGCTAATGTGTAAGAGTCTTACACTAGCTCAGTGCTCATACTATGACTTACCAAACACCATTTCCTCAGAGAGACTTTCTGGTGATTTTTCTAGGAAAAAGCACAAAGGGCAAATAAATCTTCATATGTTAAAACTCCATACCCATTTCTCCTGAAATATCCTATTCTTGTACTCCAATTGGTTCCAGGACTTCTGTGAATATCAAAATCAGAGAATAGCCAATTCTGTTATGTAAAATCACACAGTATTTGCATATAACCTATGCATATACTCCCCTATTCTCTAAATATTTGGATAACTTATAGTACCTAATATAATGGAAATGCCATGTTAACAGTTGTTCTACTACATTTTAAAAATAATAATAGCATCTACAACCATTGTAGGTCTACTCCATAGAAGTCAGCAACTACAGGATATTTTCAAATCATGTTTGGTGGCATCTGTTTACATGGAACCTACAAATGGAGATGTGGGGCCAAGGGTAATGATCGTACTTAATATCCTACTTGACTAATAATGCGAATTACATTTTAAGAAGTTGCCAAAAAAATTCACAAAGGTACAGAAGGGAAGAAGTTTGAAGTGGGGAAATACAGCTGCTAACTCTTCTATTTATATTATACCTGTACAATGTAGGTAATTTATACAGGTACAAAAAATTCCTCACACACAGAGAATTTTTCACTAGCAAATCAAACATTTTGTTTATTTAAAATCTCTGCTTCTGCTTAAATTTCAGAAGGCACATTAGTCATAAAAATTTAATCTACCTTAAACACGTGAGTCTAGTTTATTTCACTTATGAGTATGGTCCCTAGTTGGAGCCACTTACCTACAAAAGCCTCAACTTTACCTTTCTTTATAGCTGAGTAGTACTCCATTGTATAAAATCACCACATCTTTTTTATCCTTTCCTTAGTTGATGGGCATTTGGGTTGTTTCCAAGATTTAGCTATGACAAATTGTGCTGCTATAAACATGGGTGCACATATATCACTGTGGTATGATGTTTTCAGTTCTTCTGGAAAAATATCCAGAAGGGCAATAGCTGGGTCAAATGGGACCTCTAATCCTAGTTTTTTGAGGAATCTCCACACTAATTTCTATAGTGCTTGTACCAGTCTACACTCCCACCAACAGTGAAGAAGGCTTTCTTTATCCCCAAACCCTCGCCAGCATTTGTTATTGATTAATTTGTGATGACAGCCGTCTTTCTGAGGTGAGATGGAAACTCAGTGTTGTTTTAATTTGCACTTCTCTGTGCTGGGCATGGTGGCACATGCCTGTAATTCCAGCACTCAGGAGGCTGAGGCAAGAAAGTTGTTGCAAGTTTAACACCAGCCTGGGCTACAAAATGAGCTCAAGGCCAGCCTGAACTGCATAGTGTGACCCTGTCTGAAAAAGACCAAAAAAAAAATTTGCATTTCTCAAATGACCAGTGATGTTGAACATTTCTCACATATTTATTTGCCATTTGTATTTCTTCATTTGAGAAGTGTGTATTCATCTCAGATGCCTATATATATAAGATATACATGTGTATATATGTGAATATATATACATATATATATATATATATATATATATATATATATATATATACACACACACACAAGGTAACTAAGATAATTGTCCTACTAATTTCTATTAGTTCATAGAAAGGAACAGTTAGTGCTTATGTTGTTTGATCAATTTTTCATGCCTATATCTGGTAATCTGAGCAAATAATTTGAAGATAACAATATGCAATATAATAACCATTGTTAATTTCCTATCATCTTTTTTGAAATTCTGTATTATTTTTATTGTTTTTTTCTGTCTTTAAAGTAAGAAAATACATATACCTCAAATACCTTTAATTACATGCAGAACAGCCAGTGCAGAATAGGGGAAAGAGATGAAATTCAAATTAAACAGCCCAATTTTCAGTACATCAAGTGGGACCTTCAACTTTTTTTTTTTTTTTTTGAGACAGGATCTTGCTCTGTAGTTCAGGCTGGGCTTAAATTCACTTTGTAGCTCAGGCTGGTCTTGAACTCACAACGATCCTCTTGCCTCAGCCTCCAGAGTGCTGGGATTACAGGTATGTACCACCACGCCAGGCTGGAAACTTCAACTTTAAAAGAAGCCCCACATGGTACATAGGAATCTAAACTCTTTAATTTGGAAGCACAGTTTATAGCTCTTTGGGGGAGAGGGATTTGGGTAGCATGCTCCATCATGAGCAACAGTATCATTCTAAGGCTTCAAGTGTCACTTTGGTTGAACAAAATATTAACACTTTCAATGAACACTCCATTCTCTGGCACATTCCCAGACTTCCCAACCCACAAAAGTTGAAAGTTACTGCGCATTAGGTGCATTGTTTCATTTACATTGTCTCATTTAATATTCACAACAGCATTTAAGAAGTTAAATAATCAATTTCTCTTAAAAAGCAGACACTGTCTGTGGCAAACCCATTAATGAAAGAAGAGGTTGGGTTTCTACTTGAGTTAAATAGTCCAGATCTCCACTTCCCATTATGGAGTCCACTTGCTGGGCTTGGGCCCTGATACCACATCTCACTTCTGCCAGCCCTGATAACTGGATTCTGCTCTTAGGACTCTAACTCTCTGGAATAGATTATGTCTGTGAACAGACAGAATTCCCAGAACCATAATGCTGCCCTTTATCTGAATTCCCAGCATCTTTTCATGGCAGGGACTGTCACTCCTGTGCCTTGCCTGTCCAGCTGGACACTCTTCAGTTGGTATTTTCCCCCCAAGCTGTACCTGATCTCGGCAAGTGCGTTATACTGTGATGAACAAGGCAGCTGGCCTTGAACAGTCAGCCCCTCCAGCTGCGGCTTCATTCCCCACTCTGTCCTGGCTTCCACCTCCACTTACTCAGCAACTTCTGCTATAGAGACCTGCTGTCTGCAGCCCAAGATGGGTCTGAGGCTCAGCCTACATTATCTATAGAAGATGCTGGCTGTAAATTCCTCAGTTAGGGCAATAACTAGAATGAAGCTATGGGCACAACCATTACATAAGGCTCATTACTTCATTAGTCTCCATGTAGAAGTCTCTGATTATTCCTAACTAGATGTTCCTATAAAAAAATATACAACATCACTGAGGTCTGACTTGATTCAAGACACTGAGGCAATCACCACAGTCCAGCTGAACACAGTTATGGAAGAAGACAGCCAGACCTTCAGACACAGACAAGAGCGATAGGTAAAAGTGGTTGAAGTGAGGAAGAGTACTGTGGGAAGGATTAATGTTAATGTTCCTTTTACTGTAATAAATTTAAATACTCACCATACTTTGTGATCACACCTTATTATGGCTTGTACCTATATGTCCCTCCAAAGCCTCATGCACTCATAGGTAGGGTTTTTTAGAGATGGTGGGATCTAGGCTGTGTGAATGTGGATTAAGGGTGTGATACTCAGATAAAGTGTACATGGTACTGGAATAGTCTGCTAATTGTTTTATCATAGTTCTGGCTGTGGGCAATGGGTGTGAGTGGCACTACCCACAATGACTGTAGGCTGAATGGACTAAAAGGGAAAGAGCAGTTTGCTGCTTGCTGCCTCCTGGCTGCCCTGCCATGGACTGTTTATCCTCTGCCATGCCGCTCCGGATTGCTGCCCTGCCTTGGAGCCAGCCAACTATGAACAGAATCATCTACAAACTGTGAGCTGAAATAAACCTTTCCTCCTCTAACTGGTGGGTGCTGGTATTTTGTCTCAGCAAAGAGAAAGGCAACTAAGACATGCCTAGTATATTTTCCAGAATTCCTCAACTCGTTGTCATTATTATTCCTTCATTTCAATGCACTTCTCCATTAACACACCCATTTTTAAAACTCAAATGTCAAGTGTCTCACTTTTAAATCCTTTTACTAGATGTATTTAACACTACAGCAAAAGTTATAATGTGAGTATAAGTATACTACATTCATCATTTTATAATGAAATTGCTTAATTTATCTATATTTGTTTTAACCACATTTTAAAAGAAGTTTCAAAGGATAGAAACAAAACACAAATTTCTTGCAGGTATTGTGGCATCCAGGTGACTGGCAACAGAGAAGAGGAAGTAAATAAAAGTGTATATTTGGTGATTACTTTGCTATCTTGGAATTTTTCATGCTATTAATTACTGCTATGCCTTTATAAGGCAAGTCAGCTTTTCCAACATATAATATTGTTTCTTTTCATTTGTGATTTAACAACAACAAAAGTCAATTTTCTGTGGCAAAAAATTCCAAGTTTCTCTGAATAAAGACTAAAACCGTGGCATATCATCTCAAGCAATGCCATCCCAAATAAACACACGCTTCTCTGATTCCAGCTCCTTTGTCCAGAATGATTACTGGCCTTTCAATGAAGAAAGGTGTAATCTCTTTGTTATCAGCCTCTGCAATGCACCACAGTGATGTATGGTGGGAGTGTGAGAAAAGAAAAGGAAGAAATTTGATAGGAAGCAGAACCTTAAAATTCACACACAGAGTCTGAATTTAAATTATTCTCAGTTGTTTGTGAAAAATGGACACAATCAATTTCTCACTGTGTTTTCAGTAAAGAAGTTTGTGTAAATGGTAGTTGTTGTATTTATTTACTATTTCAATTGAAAATAGATTCCATTATTTTCATCATTCAACCTAAAGTTCTTGAGCATCTGTTCTGTATTCAACGGTGTGTTAGCAGGGACACAGAAATAGCAAAAACCCTTGCTCTGCTTTTGAATAGCTAGCAGTCCAGTGAGAATGGGAATCTCAGCAAATCTCTTGAGGCAGCAATAATGCATAGGAGCGTCATCAGCACAAAACATGGGGAAAAATGAGGAGGAATGATGATTAAAATATAAGCTATGGATGTTAGCAGCTGTGGGGATTAAAAATGAACTATTGGCATAATGGCTTATCCCACTTTTCAATGCAGAGGCAGAGCCAATTTCACTTTTATCCATGAGACCATAGGAGGATTTTAGACAAAGCAATGGCATTCAATATCTTTATTCATCCTGATATATTAATTTAAGCATAAATTGAAGAGGAAGGGTGTCTCAAGTGAAATAAGAAAGAGCTAAATACAACCTAAGCAGTAGGTTATACAAATTTGTCTAAAGCCAAAATACTAGTTACTGACTAGAATTCTGAAGGTTTGACTAAAGACCACTTTCATGTATTCATAGGCCTTTGGAGAAGGGCCAATTTCATGCTTCTGATCCTATAAAGGTCAGAAGCAAAACACTAACCACACTTCAGCCCAGGTAGTGGGCAAATAGGAGAAAAGGTGTGGAAGTTGAATGCATGTGGGCTACCAAGTATCTGATGAATTGAAGACAAGGACTGAACAGCCACAGAGAGGGACAGTGAGGGCTTCTTTCTTTCACAGTCATTGGTCCAATCACAATACACAAAAAGAACAAGACCAGCAACCTCAAGGAAAAGCAAGAAAGTTTTGAAAAGTTCCAGGAAGAGGGTGAAATGGGAGGAAGGAGAGGACAATAAAAAGAAGGAGAAAGCTTATATATTCACAGGTGACTCTTAATGAATTTTTTTGGGAATATTTTTCCAACTATATTCAAACAGCTGCCACCCCGCAATCATATATATTTGTTGCACTTTGCCTGAGAGTTTAGCTTATGTGCCAAAATACAACTGCTAGTTTATCGTAGTCTGTTTTTTCAGATAACAGTGATCTCTGTTGGACCAAAGACAATATATGGTGATTTATAAATTTTCCAAGATTTTTTGATCTTGAACATTACAAGAGTTCTAAGAATGATAGTTTTCAGCATACCTTTTATATTTAATTAAGCTGAGCAGATGTTATTCACTGTGCTTTGATGAAGAAAATAGAGAAAGAGAATGTAGCATCTCACAATATTGTTCATGCCTAGGGACATGAAATTTTTAAATGAGATAACATTGTCATTTTGTTGTAGTTGACTAAGCTATTTCAGAGCAATGACTTTTTTCCTTACATCTCCTGTGCATAACATGGTACCAGATATGTCCAGTTGTTCAATAAGAGTTTCTTGTATAAAATAAAACAAAAACTGGATTTCAATGAATGAGAAGTAGAGCAGGTAAGATATTTCCATATAGAACAAGAAGGAGCAATTTGTGATCAAGTATTTCCTTTTTTTTTTTTTTTTTAGTTTTTCTCCGGTACCGGGAACTGAACTCATGACCTCGCGCTTGCCAGGCAGGCGCTTTTGCCGCTGAGCTAAATCCCCAGCCCCCATGATCAAGTATTTCCATAAGTACCTTCTGGCCCTTTGAACCACTTTAATCCTATCACTTTATACCTTGAGCCTGAACACAGCTTCAAATTTCGAACAGTCCTTCAGCAGAGATGTACTTTAAGTGATGCAAAATTAACAGTTCCTGTTAAGTCAATAACAGGGTTTTGTGAACACAGGTAAGAAAATACATGCGTAATAATATTTTATATATTTATTTATTTTCAATCATCAACACTAATTGTATTCATTAGGTCCGATGTAACATTTTGATCTATGAATACGTTGTTCAAAGTTTCAGTCAGGTTAACATACCCGTTTCCTCACCATGGTGATCGCAGGTGACAATAATGCAGTGTGTATTTCAAAATTGTAAGTAGATTTTTAACATGCTTACCATCATCTTTTCAGTTGAGGATTTGGGATCCAAGTACCATTGGATGTTAGGGCATAAAAGTCGTATTTGTGAATATCTAGGCAATAAGAGTGTACAATGGCTGAGCAACAGTAGAAGGCAATGCTGCTCAGACTTCCACTGCACGTGAGCCAAACAAGACTCAGAAACACAGGTTCCAACTCATCAAATCTGGGGCACTGCTGGAGAGTGTATTCTAACTCCAGAGCAGGGCTGGAGTGTGCATTTCTAACTCCCAGAGGCTGCCCAGACTTCTGGGTTGCAGACCACAGCTTGAGTAGCAGGACTGCACTACATGGGGCCAGCTATGGAGAGAGCTGGACAAACAAGAGGACTGGGTGAAACACTCAGTGTCAGGAACTTATGACCATGGAGACTTATTGGAAAAAGATAGGACCAGAACTTGTACATGGCACAGTATTAGCTAGGATGGAAAGACAGAAAAAAGAAAAGCTGTCAGGGGTACCAGGGACCGTGAAACACCAGTGGCTGCATGGTGTTTTTCCTGGGCAGTTCTTTCCAGAGTGCAGAGAGTCTCTCCAGGAAGAAGAAACCAGTCCCATGAACGAAAGTTCCAAAAACCTCAGTAACAAAAGTCCTGTACTCTTTATGTGTTCTGAGACTCTGAAAGATATCTCTATATCTCTATATATCTACCTACCTACCCATATATTATGCATGTATGTTTTAACGCATAGTCTGATGCAGTGCTGGTGAACCTATAGCACACACGCCGCAGCAGACTGTATCACTGAACGGTCTAAAAGGTTCGCCATCACGGGTCTAACGTACAAGATTCTTAGACTAACTCAGTGCTCATCCACGACTTACCAAGGACCTGCTCCTCAGGGGGGTGGTCTGGTGATTTTTCTAGAAAAAAGCAAAAGGTCAAATAACTCTTTATTTGTTGTAGCTCCACACATACTTTCTCATGTCCTAAACCACCCTCGTCCTATATTTCCACACTCAGAGTAACACAAAGCCAGTGGACTGGCTGAGCTGATACGACTGGGATTGTTCCTGCACACTTATGAATATAAAATCAGAAGGCATTCTAGCCCCGTATATAAACGTATTTCCATGTCGTATACATAGCTCCCCCTATACTTTAAAACTCTAGATTTTTATAATACCTGATATAATGTAAATGCTATGTAAATAGTGGTTCTACTATAGTTTAAGGGAATAATGACGTCCGTAACCAGTCTAGGACCACCTGTTTAGCCATGTCACTGGCTAAAAAACTTTCTATTCGTGTTCAGTTAAATCTGTGTGGAAACTGCAGCTGCACTGTGAGTGTGTGTGTGTGTGTATATGGGGTGACTTATTTAGTACTCAAAGCCATGCGTAATTAGGATGTAACCTTAAAGTACAAAAAATTGCAGGAAGGTACAGGAGGGAGGAGGCTGGAGTAAGGAAAAATGGCTGCTAACTTTTCCATTTACCTGCACCAGGTAACTGATGTGTATAGTCTTTAAAAATTCATCACACACACACACACACACACACACACACACACACACACGGAATTTATCATTGGAAAATGAAGTATGTTGTTTACTTTCACTCCCTGTTCCTGTTTAAACGTCAGACGACACATCAGTCAGGAAAAAGTAGGCTGTAAATACCTTCATTATGCGCACGATTGCAGTGTAGATGAGGGGAAAGAGATGAAACTCAAATTGAACGGCCCCATTTAAATTGCGTCGTGTGTGCCTTCAGCTTTATCAAAGTTCCCGGTGGCAGCTATGAATCAATATTCTTCAATTTCAGAGGCACAACTTAAGGTTCTTTGGGGGAGGGTAGATATGTAGCATGCTTAGTGTGAGCAATAATACCATTCTAAGGTCTCAAGCTCCACACAGCTTAAATACAAGTATTAACACTCTCAATAAACACCCATTCTTGGGGGCATTATCAACTTGCCAGCCCGCTAAAGCTCCTGAAAAGAATTCCCAGAATAGACCTACTGAGCAGAAATTTGATGCTTCACTCAGCACTGATGTTATTCATTCGTGGGACTAACAGGGGCAAACTATCAAGAGAAAGAATTAGAATAAGGATTCCAGGGAAAGGGAGGCCTTTTGAACTCTGCTCACTTGGGAAAGATAATAGCGATGAAATTAGAAGGAAACATTTTTTGAATACCACTAGGCAGTCGGTACCATGCATCCTTCCCACCATCCCATGGAATATTCATAACAACTTTTCAAGTAGTTACTCCCGTCAGTTGTCTTGTGAAAATGAGATGTTAAGGCACTCGGGGATAACATGAACCATAGGCTTTCACCTTAGGTTTAACTGCTCATAATTGGAATCTGGAATTTAAGGTTAGTTTGAATGGCCCAGAGTCCATTTGCAACTAACACAACTATACTAGTGTCAAATTTTCTACAAAAATCAAGATTATTTATAATGTTATAAAGGATTCCCCAGCACACACATTTTAAAAGATAGCAATTCTAGTTCACACTTATTAGGGGAGTAGGCCTTACTGGAGACATATAGGTTTGAGAATTACCATTGCATAAGGCAAATAAAATGTCCAAAATGCATTTTTAAAGTATGGCCATCTCTGCTAGTTTTATGGCAAATAGCATGTGTGTACAAGGCTTGGTTCCTGAGAGGTCCAATGACATGTTCAGATCTTTTCTAACCAATCTATATTTCTGCTCACGATCTTAACAGCCTTGATGTGCCTTTAGTATTTTGCCCAAATATATTCGAAATACAACAGAGTGTGAAGTTTGTGGTCATATTGAAAGTCACATGTCACAAGGTTTTTGTACCATACCCTTCTGGATCAAACGCTAGCTCATGTAAGGGTGATGGTTGGGCTTTACCTCAACCCCTTCTCTCCTCCACTCTTCTGCAGACCTCCCAGTTCCTCCAGCTGTGTATGGCAATAAATCCCATCTGTAGGCCCAGCTTCACCCAGAATCCATGCTGGGAATGGCAGGAAGCATCAGCAACCTCAGTCCCAGCAGAGAGGTGAGAACCACTAGTAAGCTTCACTGTACTTGCTTCATAGACCCGGCAGCATCCAAACACCGCAAATGGCATGATCCCCAGTGGACAGATGAGCAAACTGAAACTCGCGGGATTGAAAGTACTCGGCCCCAGTTGCACAGCATCACTGGTTCAAAAACAGAAAAGCAAACAGAGACAGCAAAACCCAGGTGCTGATTTCCTGGCCCGCAGGCTGAATACCATGCAATAAAGTTGTCATGCTTTCCTGGCAAATTTTGTAGAATGAGTGAGAACAAAATCAAAGTTAAATTTCAGGACAATAAATTGACAATATGGTTGAGCCCTCTTTCTGTACCAGGTTACATCTTTTACAAAAGATGTTTATCAGAACACTCATGACTCAGGCAGGCAAGTTTTCTATACAGACATCAAGGCCAAGCTGATTTCACCCTGACCATAGCTGAGAAGATAAAAACCAGAGTGAAATAGGTCCCTGAATATGTACCTTGTCTATTTACGTCAAATGAGTAAATATAGCATGAAGTTTCACACTGGGAGTGATAGACTCTCACTTTTGGTCTCATTGCTATGCCTCTTACCACACTCTAATCCCTGTTATCTTTCTTGCTCGGAAGGTGCTAGGGGGCACGTGAACGGTTGAAGGTGGGGATCTGGGAGCACAGCAGTGAGCAGAACTAGGCTGAACCTCAGTGTGAAAGTCATTGTCCTACTTTGTCAGTCTGGAATCTTACGAAAATGAACCAGGACCCTAGTCCCATACTCAAACTTAGCCTCAGATCAACCAGATAGTACGTTTCTCCTGAAGTGATACAATAGAAATGACCCTGCACACCTACGACATATACTGACCCAAAATGTTTAAAGGGCATCATTAACTGTTTAGATTTAACCTGACCCACAGTAAACACAGAAGCTCAAGAAGCAAGCCAAATGACACCCCTGGAAAGATGAAAATCTAGAGACTGAGATATTCTCCAGGACAATAGCCAGTGTCAGGGGGAAAAGAGAAGCCAGAACTAATTAGAGAAGATGGGAGAGATCACCAGCACACACAAAGCCTAGCACTAGATTCTATTCTGATTTGGACAGATTGTTTGAAGTGTGCATTACACTCAATGTGCAAGGCGGCTGCCCTTGGAGAGTCGGCATCTCCAGCTGGCGTCATTTTCCACGCTCTCCTGGCCTCCACTTTCACCTACTTACTGACCTCTGCTATACTGACCTGCTGTCTTCAGGCCCAAGATGGGTCTGATGCTCAGCCTACACCATGTGAGGAAGAGGCTGGTTCTAAATGCTTCACTTAGGGCAAGAACTAAAATGAGGCTACGGCCATAACCATTACCCAAGGTTCACTGTTTCTCTCATTCTTTAGTTCACTCACTTAGAAGACATTAATGGCCTCTGCTTGGTATTAAACACCATGCTTGGTGGTGGAACTACATGGAAGAGAAGTGGAATCCTGGTCTTCATGGAGTAGCATGAACACATCAGGGTAATAGATCTTAAGCAAATAAGAACACCAATAATTATGCTCTTTCAAATGAGATGTGACAGGTGCAGTATGGGAGAAGTACATATTTGAAGCAAGACTGAATGTGACGCAAAGGATGAGTAAGAGCTGCATCCAGAGCAAGTCCAGGTGGAGAGAGTATAAGGGGAGTGCGCTCGCAGCCATCAGGAGCGGCAGTAAGGCCGGTGGTGCTGAAGGACCTGGGTGAGGGGCTGAGTGATGTGAGGGGTGGCTGCAAGCGTGTGAGGGCAAGGGAAGTGGACACATTCAACTGCAGGGTACAAAGCCCTGCTTTCTCCCAGCTAGATGCTCTTACAAAAACACATGCTCAGGCACTGAGGTATGAGATGGAACTAAGGGTATCATTAGGAAACTACAAGAGAGAGAGAGAGAGAGAGAGAGAGAGAGAGAGAGAGAGAGAGAGAGAGAGAGAGAGAGAATTAAAGAATTTATGTTCTCAAAAAAAAAAAAAAACTGCAAAGAAGTCCAAAATTCTGGGCCTTGTGTTCAGCAATTGGAAACAAACAAACAAAAAATTATCATATGCATCAGTAATCTTTTCTGTAACTCTAGTTGACACCATTTACAGAAAAATAAAATGGAGAAATGCAGAAAAACAAAGAAATACAGAAATAAGCAACAGAAAAGGGGCCAGAAGATGTGTTCCACCTATGAGTCACCACAGGAAAGAGAAACAAAGCTGATGGAAAGGACAGGAAAAGACTCTGACATCATGAAGCAGCACAGTGGTTACAGAGAAAAGAAAGTGGGACACACTTTAGCAGTTGGAAACAGCACACATTTGTCTGAAAACTCATAGCCTGAAAATAATACATTTCTTTGGACAGACAAGATAGAGCTCTGCTTTCCTTCTACCCAGTCATACTGGAGTTAGCAGGACCGGCCCCAGCACTGCCTCTCCCACCCATAGGAATCTGGGCTGGATTATCAGTCTGTTTCTGCCTCATAAAATGGGATGGGGCTCTGCTCCCAGGTTGTCCAAAGGAGGAGATGAGATGACATTCAAATGATCACCACAGTTGCTTAATAGGTACATGGTGAATGTTAATGCTTTTGTTACCCATCATGAAAGCTCCAAACCATGGTGTCACATCAAAATTAGATACAGAAATGATGGAAATTAGAGGTGATTCATTCACAAAGAAGAACAAGGTCTTGCTTTTGGTATACAAGTGTGTGTGTGTGTGTGTGTGTGTGTGTGTGTGTGTGTGTGTGTGTGTGTTCTACTGCCATACTGTTTCCACAGAGAAGGTGCTCCAGAAACTTCAGTTGAGTGAATGAGAACACTACAAATCTTTTTTTGTTATTCATTACTGAAAATAATTTAAATTATTAGTTTTTGAAAACT